GCTTTTTTCTTTTTGCTTTATGTGGTGCTGAGGAATCGAACCCAGGGCCTCATGCATGCAAGGCAAGTGCTCTACCACTGAGCCACTTTCCCAGCCCCAAAAATCTCATCTTTTTATCAACTGTCATGGGATGACTGTTAACTTTTCAAGTGATCATGCTGTTTTTCTTAAATTGAGCTCATGTATCTACTTTATGTATTTTATAGAATGTAATTTACCACTTTTTATGTCTTATTATACATTTCCAGTAATAATAATCAAATGTGCTTGGCTCTGGACTAGGTTTTTTAAAAAAATATTTTTCATTATCATTGGTTGTACAATGAGGTTTCAATTCCATATGCAAATTATTAGTGCAATGCATCTTGATCAGTATCACCCCATCCATCATTCTCGTTCATTCTGTCTCAGCCGTACATACCTTCTGACATTAAATACACTATGGTCTAAAAAGGGATACTGAAATGAAATAACATAATTGTTGAGACCTTTTTGATGGTAGAAGTATTGGCACAGTGTTACAAGTATACTCATTGTATACTCATTTATAAAGAGGTGGATAGGGTTGTGTCAGGGAGAGATGAGTTAAGCAACTTAGGCATTAGAAGCATATCTGAGAATTTTGTTTCCTTGCAATTCTGGGGATTAAACTAAGCATAAGTATAACTGAACTACATTCTCCGCACTTAGAGAACAAGTGCTGTTTATGGGCAGCCCTCCCTCTTGATCTTTGCATTGTTAGGTGATTGCCTTTCCATCTGAAAAACAGATTGACTTAGAAGGTAGAATTAAGTGAAATAGAGCAATTTAATATGAGATGCTTTCTCATTAATGTTGCATCATTCTATTCTAAGCAAATTTATCCATAAGATATAACGATACTCCATAGACTTACAAAAACATGCACGGAACTAAACTCAGTTATGAGTCGGGCAGTACTGTAGAGTTGCACTACAATGAAGCTTATTTTGTTATATTGACAGACTGCTTCACAGATGTTTAATCTTGGTCTGTCCTAGGATTGAAGTCTGGAATCAAATAGTCCTTATGGGAGAAGGCATTTTATGTATGAACTATAAAGATCAGCCATTTGTGAATCATACCCTTGCATATTAAAATACCACAAAGCAGATTTCACTTCCCCCACTCCTATTAGAGTTTAGCTTTCTATCTTATCTCTAGCCTTGCATTTTGCTGGTTATTTTGGAGACAGAATTGGCCTGGGCTGATTTCTAACTGTAGTCTTCCATCTCAGCTTCTTCTTGAGTAGGTAGGATTATAGCCACTGGCATCTGGCCACTTCTGAATAGTTGAACTATTATACTAGGCTGTTTATAGAATTGTCTTAACTTTGAGAAATAATTTTTTCATGTTTTGATATTGTGAGATTTGCCTTGTCAATACTACCTTTTCCTTTGGGAGCATTTCTGAGTTTTCAGTATTAGATATTTTACATATACATTTTCAGAATATTTCTAATATTTCAAATGGCATTTAATATCATGAGTATATTTATGTGTATACATGTGGATTTATGTATATGCATCAGAGTAGACTTGTCAAAAATGCTATTAAATATGTGTAAGTATATAATGCAAATAAGTCACACAAGTGTAAAATATTTTCATAATGTAGTTTTTATCCCCAAAGAAAAGATGTTGCATTGGCTTCTTTTAAAATATCAAAAAAAAAAACCCCAGCAAACCTTTAGAATTACAAAATTGTTCATCAGCTTTTTTAACTTACAAAACACTGGAAACTATACACAAATTGAAAGAAAAAATTATCTTTCACAATGTTGCCATTGCAAACTATGATAGTTTTGGTGCCTTTTCTTCCTTTATCTGTATACTTTTTTAAATTGTTGAGGTCATTAGCAAAATGTACAATTTTGCTAGGTACCAGTGGCTCCTGCCTGAAATTCTAGCTACTCAGGAGACTGAGATCTGAGGATCATGGTTTAAACTAGTCTGAGCAGGCAATCCATGAGACCATGCCAGAAGTGGAGGTTTGTCTCTAGTGGTAGAGTGCCAGCCTTGAATGAAAAACCTAAGCAAGATATAAGGTCCTTGAGTTCAGTCCCAGTACCAGCACAAAACAAAGTAAACCCCTCAAAGTTGCGCAGCATTGTTATCCCTTTTATTTTTAGTTAACACTATGTTAAGTTTTTGGCATATTAAAATTATTTGTGATATATATATATGTATGTATACATGTATATAAAACTGTATGTGTGTGTGCACGTGTGTGTGTGCCTGTGTGTGTGTGTGTGTGTGTGTGCGTGCGCGCGTGCGCTCTGAGGGGCTTAAACTCAGGGCCTGGGTGTTCTTAAGCTTTTTCTGTTCAAGGCTAGCTCTCTACCACTTGAGCCACTTCTGGCTTTTTGGTGGAAGATAATTGGAGATAAAAGTCTCACAGACTTTACTGACTAAGGATGGACCCACAATCTAAAGATCGCTGCTTCCTGAATAGCTAGGATTACAGGCACGAGCCAGAAGTACCTTGCTGTAATATAATTTTACTAGATACAGAAATGTAGGTATACCCCAGAATAAAAACTTTATATTGAGTATTATGTGTCAGTCATGGTGCCAGAGTATCTTAACTATACTCTGTGTATGCTTTAGAACAATCATGTCAGATATGTGGCATTAGCTCTCCTTCATGGATGAAAGCAAGTACAATGAGCTAACTACATTGAACTAAGTATTACTGTTTTTTTTTTTGTTTGTTTTTGGTCGTGGGACTTGAACTTTGGGCCTGGGCACTGTCCCTTAGCCCTTCAGCTCAAGACTAGCGCTCTACCACTTGAGCCACAGCGCCACTTCCAGTTTTCTGGTGGTTTATTGGAGATAAGAGTCTCACGGACTTTCCTGCCCGGGCTGGCTTTGAACTGTGATCCTCAGATCTCAGCCTCCTGAGTAGCTAGGATTAAGGCATGAGCCACCGGCACCTGGCCTGCCAACCCACTTTTTAAGTAACATTTATATCATATTCAGTGTCATAACAATAGAAAATATTACCTTCATTTCTAATCTCTGAATCCTCTGGTGCTTTGGAAAGTCACCTCATCCATCCTCTTTTTACATCTAACCAATGTCAGAAAGATACTTGTGAAGCATCTTTAGTGAGTTGTTAAGAAAATACCTTAATACAAAATTAACCTAGCTTTGCCAAGTGGTAGTTTTAGTTGTTTTTGTATTCTGTTTTGTGCCTGCTGGAATCTTTGTTAATTAGAATCAGCAAAATTCTTTTTTTTTTTGTCGGCCGTGGGGCTTGAACTCTGGGCCTGGGTGCTGTCCCTCAGCTCTTCAGCTCAAGGCGAGCGCTCTACTACTTGAGCTACTGTGCCACTTCCGGTTTTCTGGTGGTTTATTGGAGATAGGAGTCTCACGGTCTCTCCTGCCCGGGCTGGCTTTGAACCGCGATCCTCAGATCTCAGC